GGATAAGGCAGGGGAGGCTTGCAGCTTTTAGAAACACAGACGCACAGAGAGAGGCTTCATTCCCAGCTCCAAAGATCCAGCCTGACGCATCCAGCGCGCCACATAGAGCGGAGGAAGGGAAAACACAGCCCGACGCGTTATGTGTGTGTTTGTGTGTGTGTGTGTTCCGCGTGTGTGTGAGCTGGTTTGTCCGCGGTGAATTAAAAGGCCACCAGGACTGAGGAGATACCGGGGCCCTGCACGCTGGAACCTTCATTCCTGTAACGGAGAGGGAAAGAGAGGTGGCGTAAAAAAAAAAAAACAGGCGCGAGAAGCGGACTGAGCTGCCTTCGGTCATGGTGCGCACCTGCCGCACATCCGCTCCCGGACCGGACTGCTGAATTTAGGGAGGAGGAGGAGGAGGAGGGGGGCAACTTTTTGGAGCAAGAAGTTGCCGTCAGATCGGAGGGGAGAAGGAAGAAAGGAGGAGGGAGGAGGGGGGACACGAAAAACTAAATCCCTCCATCGAGTAGAGTCACCTTGTTTTTATTTTTCTTCACATTTCCATCCCTCGACAGGAAGGCGAAACGGCGGCTTCAGTCGATTATCTCTCTTTCCTTTGCTATCCAATGGATATTCACTGCAAGGCAGACCCGTTCACAGCCATGCACCGTAAGTAGCACAACCCGAGCTCCTTCTTCCCAGTTTAAAACCATCACAGGTTTTATTTCCCCGCACCTTCCCACAGAGCGCAGCTTTCAGCTCCATTTAAACTGTGCGTCTTTGCGCAAAAAAAATAGACAAAACTTTGCCATATACATGTGCAATTATTTCAAATGATTTTCATTTTGTGTAGCTGCCTTGAATTTACAGGGAGTAAAAAAAAAAAAAAAAGCTTCAAAATATTTCCACACGCACGAGGCGCGCTGTGGGCACGAATCAAACTTGCCTCTGTAAACAAAGAGCAGGTGCTCTCTAATTTTACACGTGCCGCGTCCCCGAAGCTCCCCCGCGCGCACCCTTCTCCGTGTCTCCGTGCGCGCGCGCGCGTGTAATAGGTCAGGACATATTAGTTACACATSTATTATTTAAAACGATCCACGCAAAGAACATCAGAGTTAAATTTTTCCTTGTACTGTGGCGAATCCGCGTGAATAATTCATGTCGTCCTAAACGATATGTGCAGTATGAATAAACGAAAGCTTCTTTAATTATTTAATTAAAAACAATAAAAGACGCAGGTAAAATGAAAGAGCTCGTAATTTAATCTCCAACGTAACCTTTAAAACGAGATGGAAAATAATAAATTAGCCGGAAAATAATCTTAAAAATGTTAATTTAACACCAATTTATACTTTTTTTGAAATTTAAGGCTAAGTAAATTATTAAAAACAATTTTAAAAATAAATTACAGTAATAAATATTAAAATATTGCACATTGAAGTCAATGTCTTTACTTAAACATTGGCACATTAAAAATAAATGGAATGTATTTTGTTCTTATCACTAAAATGTTGCAAATAAATATGTATAAAATAAAAATATAAATATTAAATTCATATAAAATATCTCTAATTAAATAGGTTGTTTTAAAATTAAAACTGCATGTAAATGAGCATTAAAATAATTGTGTTTTGCTTTAAATTGGTGTTTTCATGCAAAATATTTGAACAGCATGCTTTTACTAATTTGCAGTTTCTCTTTTATAAAATACAGAAAAATAAAACACATTTATACCAATTATTAAGTTTCCAGCTGAACTACGTTAACAGATATTTTTATCCTTGTAAAATTAAGCAGTTTTGCGCCAAACAGAAACTAAACTTTGCATCAGGAAGTGAAACATTTATCTCTTTTTTTCTTTGAACCTCCTCATTTACGACCTTATGTAATGTTACGTCTGGGTGTGTTTTTGCTGCTGTTGTGTCCCACGTAGGGCACGGAGGTGTAAACCAGCTCGGCGGGGTGTTTGTGAACGGCAGACCCCTCCCGGACGTGGTGAGGCAGCGGATCGTGGAGCTGGCCCACCAGGGYGTCCGGCCCTGCGACATCTCCAGACAGCTGCGCGTGAGCCACGGCTGCGTGAGCAAGATCCTGGGCAGGTGGGTGAAGACTCCCCGGCGAAGGTATAGAGATTCTGAATGGAGGTGGAAACTTATTATTATTTTTATTATTTTTAATATTAGTGTTTAAATATATTTTAACCATAATAAAATGTTCAAAAGAACTGTTTTAAACCCAGTTTTGATTTCTTTCTGTGCGTCATGCGTGCGTAAAAATGACCCAAATCTTTGTTTTTATGGTGCTAAACGTAGTTTTTTTTTCTGATGTGCCACTTCTTAGTTTTGTCTCAAAACGACAACAATTATTGTAAAAAAAACAGTAATAATAATATTTAAAAGTTTGCTTTCAAATGTTGGTTCTACAGCACGAACATTTTTGTTAAATCTGCGAGAAATTTTTCCTCCTTTTTTCCCAGATACTACGAGACTGGTAGCATCAAACCTGGAGTGATTGGTGGCTCTAAACCCAAAGTGGCCACTCCAAAAGTGGTGGAAAAAATCGCAGACTACAAGAGACAAAACCCAACCATGTTTGCCTGGGAAATTAGAGACMGACTGTTGGCAGAGGGCATCTGTGACAACGACACTGTTCCCAGCGTCTCATCCATTAACAGGTAGGAMCATTTAATGTGCAACTTAAAAATATAGATTATTTTTATTTATTTTTATTTTATTTTATTGAGTTAAACTGTCTGGATGTAAACACGTGGCACACCTCCCACGTGCAGATCTTTGAGCAACTTTGCGCTGCCCCGACACTCCCCGAGCAGAGGTTGTAACGATCTCAGACGGTGCAATTCAATCTTTTTTTTCTTTCCTTCTTTTTTTTTTTAAACGAACTCCCTCAGCAATCAGCACTACATCCAGGTCTGAGTGAAWCTGTCGAGATGAAAACCGATCAATATTCGGTGACCAGATCCCGTGGCGCTATAAAGCAGGCCAATTTTCGCGAGCACRTCTATCACATCATCACAGAAATCAGCTCTGGACTCGACTTGCTCCTGCAAGGTGATGCTGAATATTCAGACACGTATCAACGTTTCTGACTATGCATAGAAGCTGGTGCGTAAAAGCGCAGGAAAACTCTGAAGAGTCCTTTTGCACCCCCCATTCTTCACCTCTTCAGCCCCACCACCACCACCAGAGATCCCTGGTGATGAACTTTGGTTAAGAGGCACCGTTCCATATAGAGTCAGCATCAGCATTACATTTTAATGAGCTGATGGGAAAGCGCGTGGACAGCTCCACACAAGACATCTTTTAAATAGAGGAGGAGGGAGGAGGGAGGGGAAAAAAGAGGGCTGAAGAAAATTCATTTCATGCTTCGTGGCTGCTTAAAAAGCCCCATTTAAGGAGGCTCAGACACATGTATGTGATAAATTCAAAATGTACATTAATATCATTCAAAGAGCCCCTATGAAGTCTTTTTTTTTCTTTTCCAATTAAATGTGGCTACTTTGGAAGGAAGATGGGATGGAGGCCCAATGTGTCTTTGTTTGTGTGGGAAATTAAAATGTGAACACAAAGAGGTGTAATTCTATCAGCCTAAACTGAGAGCTTTGAATTTCTATTATGGGTTAGGCTACCCTTTTGATTTTATTTCATTTGGAGAAGAATAATCAAATGCCAAAATATCACATATTTAGGAATCCTTTAAATAATAATAATAATAATAATAATAATAATAATAATAATAATAATAATAATAATAATAATAATCTTACAACTATTCATTGGGATTTATTTGATGAAGAAGCAGTCTTGTTTAAATCCATTTAAACATCCTGAATGCTTTCATCATAATCAAATCTGACTGATTATCCTTTAAAAAGTCACAAGAAAAAAAATCAAAAGATAAGGGAAGTTTTCGCAGGTGCTTAAATAAGAGTTAGAAGAAGGGAGGAGAAAATGCTGGAGCCAAAGATTTTTTCCAGTTGAGTGGTTCTGACTGGGGCCAGTTGTGGGTTTCTGTGGCAGASAGTCTGACCTCAGAACTGTTGACAAAAGAGGATGCTTGATTTAAACACCTTCCTTCTGCATGCATTATTAAATGCCACAGAGATATAGGGTTGTGCTGCACATCAGGGCCAACACAGCTAACGCTCGCTGCCTGCTGGACATTAAAAACAAAAACAAAAACAAAAAAAAAATCCTCAATGGTGCTCGATATTATTGACTCAGAAGTAAAGCAATTTTAATATCTCTTCGGGGGATTTTCAGCAACAACCAGGGTCATTAATTCATTCTCCTAAATTGCTTATTCAATATGAAGAACATGGATACCAAATAAAATCTTTTTAATTTATGTTGCACACACAAGTCAAGGGGTCAAATAATTGTTATGGGGGGAAAGTGAAAAAAAATTAAAACGTCAATATGCGCTTTCTGGAAAAGGCGTGTTGTTAGGTGGCTTTGCCCCTAAGGGGAGTTTTCTTTGTTTCTTTTTAATTGTGACAGTGTCAGATTTATTTTTCTGATGCCTTTTGGCTCCTATATCAATACCTTTAAAAAAATTAACTTGATACATTTCTGGATACAATGTTCGATTTGTGAAATATGTAGGACAAARAAAGCAAATCTGAAGCTCAAAGGCTGCTCGGCTCTCAGCAGACCTCTCTTAAGTGACTACCGTGGCATACATGATGAATAGTTTTAAAGTTTACAAATTATTGTGACAGCTCCCTTTCTCCCCAAGTGCCATTCAGATTAAAGGAATCTAATGCTGGCGTAAGCTTGTGCAAAGCAATAAGGAACTATTGCTTTCCTGTCACATGTAATTTATAGCTTTCTATTTGCATCTGTTTGCCCGTGTGACTAATCCCCAACTTTTTCTCTCTGYGCCTCAATCAATGCAACCTCATCCGCATTGGCACACGGGTGGCCCACGGGTTGCATTTGATCCGGGAAGCAAAAATGGGACTGCTATTGGGCTCTGATCGGCTGCTGTGCAACCCCTTCCACTGTGGGGATGGGA